AATGATCAGCATTTAAAAAGGATAATTAACTGGAAAAACCGAATGAAAAAAGAATGTTAACAACAAATACTTTTTCACATTTCAACCCAGTTCTCTGGAATCAGAATCAACGTTAAAGTTTAAGTAAGCGAATGAATTCAATTAGGATTTAAAGTGCCATGCAGATTTAAATTTTTTCCATTTGTGACGAATGCAGCTATCGATTTTTTTTGCATGCTAGCAGACTAATTAACATTTGTATTTATTTCAACTGTTAAGATCTCACGCATGGACAATATATATATTCCTGCCTATTATATATATATATATATAGGCTATTTATATTGGCCATATGAAAATGGCTGCAAACTACAAAAAAACTATGTAGAAAAACAAAAAATTGAAATTTCCATATCGATTATTTAAATTAAATTGACGGTAAAACTTAAATATTAACTTAGCATTTCATTGTTTTTTTTATAATAAATGTTAAAAATCCATCAAAATGCATAATGTTGTATTTTCTCGGTTTTTTAAAAATTAATAATAACATTAACAACACATTGGATTATTTTAAAATATCCAAGTTTTATATATATATATATATATATATATATATATATATATATATATATATATATATATATATATATATATATATATATATATATATATATATATAATCGACTCTCCCGTCGCGTTCGACGTATGAGGGTCAGGCCGATAAGTCCCCAGGAAACCGACATCCCGACACCGGCACATGAGATTTGATTATAGTGGTGAAGGCCTCGTGCAGGACCAGCCACACTTTTGGAGGGACGAATACAGAAACCTGGTGCACCGAATGCATGCCACAAGGTTCCCAAAAACGACCCTCCGCAGGTTTTGAATTCAGAGTTGTCCTTCTCCTAGACCAGTTGCCATCAAGGCTATAGAACCCAGTCTGTCCTGCTATTTTACCCATAGCTATATATATATATATATATATATATATATATATATATATATATATATATATATATAATTTGAATGAGAAAAAAGGGAAAGAAACATATTAGATAAATTATGATTGGTGACTTTTTATATATATATTTATATATATATATATATATATATATATATATATATATTATATATATTATATAATTATATTTTAAATATATATTCAACAATATTTATTTAAAAAAAAACCTCATAATTTAATTTATATAAATCAATATATATATAATATATATATATATATATATTACTATATATATATTATATAAATATATATTTTAATTTTTTTGAGGATTTGAAAAGAAAAAAAATACTTTTAATTCAAAAAATAATTTAATTATGAAAATGGTTATCCTTTTGTTCTTTGTAACATGTTTATATATATATATGTTTCCAACTCCTATATGTTTAAAAAGAAAATAAAATCGAAATATACAATATATGTAAAAAAATTTATATATTAAATATACTGATTTTTTTAGAATTCTGATTGAAAAATTGACCTCATTTCAGACATATAAATTGTAATTATATAATATATATAGGAATATTGCAAATACGCTTTAATTTTCTTTTGTCTGACAAATTTTTTAAATATAAATTGAAACCTGTCAAACGCAACTATACCACGATCTATAAATATATATAAATATATATATATATATATATATATATATATAAATATATTCTCTCTTTTATATGGTTGTTCAAACATAAGAAATGATTATATGAAAATTCAAAAAGAGAAAACGCAAAATATAACAAAATTATAATGTGATTTTTTTATTCTGCAATATGAAAAAATATATAAATATTTAGACGATATATGTATATATATATATATATGAATATATATATATAAATATATATACATATATATATATATATAAATACATCAAATTTATCATATATATATATATATAAATATATATATATATATATATATATATATATATATGCATTTTATTTTTTTTAAATGAATTATGGAACGTTCCAAACGATTTTTGTCAATTTGTTTATTTTTCAATTTTTTTTTTCTGCAGACAAATAATTGGAAGTTTGATAGACGGCATTCCTTAAATTGAAGAAATTAATATCGCAAATTTTCTGGATTTTTTCTGAAAATAAATTTAAGGGAATATAAGAACGATCTAAATAAAAAGAATCCATTTCAAATCCGAAAATAATTCAAAAAAATTTCTTATGATAAAATATTAAATGTTAGTTAAGATGATGAAAATGAAATGGAGAAAACTCAAAATAATATTTTTTACAAAAGGTAACAAATTCATAGAGAAAAAAAAAATACAACGAATGATTTTTTTAGGTTTATTTAATCATAAATAAATGGATTTATTATATTTATATATCTTTATATTTATATTATATATATATTTAATCATAGATTTTCAATACAAAAAATCATTTCGTAAAAATCATTTTTCTTCTGATGATACATTTTACAATTTTTTTGAAATATTATGATGCGATAAATCAATTTATGTTAAACTTTAAATACATAAAATTTTTATGATAAAAGAAATTTTATTTAAATAAATATTTGAAAATATAGAAATATATATATATATATAAAATATTTTTCTTTGATACATTTGTGTATATGTCCTATATCAATTACGGTATTTAAAGTTGTATATAAATATAATTAAATATATATATGTATAATTACCTAATATATATATATATATGGTACTTATTAGAAATATATATATATATATATAGATAGATAATATATTTTTGGATAGATAAAGTTTGTGACCCTGGGTTTCACGCTTTAGCGATCGTCAGACAAACTGATTTTATTTTACAAAAATTTGGGTTTATGTAGATTGCGTGTATTGGTGTTATTGTGATCATTGGGGGAAATTTCGTCGTTTGTCATTCATCGTACTAACGCAAACATCGATGTATGCAGATCATATATATACTTGGTCGTCCGTCGGGACTCATACATATATAAACATATGTGGGCAGTTTCGGATATGACATCATTGTATGTAAAATACGGGTTTGGTGTTATATCTATATTTACGCATTTGTATTTGAAATATATATATATATATATATACCGGACCTGTAATGTATGATTGAGATTTTTTATGGGGGATGTGTTTAAGGCATCTATGTCAAAAATTTTTTTCATTAGCATTGATGAACTTTTCAGAGAATCTATTCTGCAATGGATAATATATCCGGAGACAAATTAAAGCTCAATAAACTTATTTTGATTTATAAGAATAATTATATAATTTTCGAAAAAAAAAAAAACAGATTTCAAAAACATCAGAACGATTAAAAAAATCATTTTATTATAAAATATACATCATACTTATTTTTATTTGATAAAATGTTCTTTAGTTATTTAAAATAAAAAGTTATAGAATATTTATTTTTTTATAAACATCGTTTTATATATTTATGTAAAAATGGAATGTATATACACATATATATATATAGGCACATATATATATATATATATATTTTATAAACACACATATATATATATATATATATATATATATATATATATATATATATATATATATATATATATAAAATTTTAAACATTATATTTTAACATTAACCGTTTCAAAAAAATTAGTAATCTGATGATAAAGGTTGAAAAAAGAATTGAATATTAACAAATGCATTAATCTTTTAATATGTTTTTATATATATATATATATATATATAGTATAAATGATAAATTTTTTATTTTAGAGCTTCAAAGAACATTTTATCAATGAAAAAATAAGGATATAAAGCAAAATTATATAATTCCTAAAAAATATAACTTTCAATAAACTTATTTTGATAAAGTTATAAGAATAATTATATAACATTCTAAAAAAAATAGATGATCAAAAAACATCAGAATTTTAACAAAATCATATATATATAATGGATACATTATATCCAAATAAAAATTCGTTTATAATTCATTAGTACTTAATGTAGACGTTTATTTAAAAAATAACAGCTTGACAAACCTTTTTAACATGAGCGAATTAATGTCTTGCATTAATTAACGGATATTTTATTCCATTCTCCTTTCAAATTAGTTCATAGATCTTCGACGTCTTTGTTTATTCTTTTTTCTTTTAGATTTTTATTGCTTAACTTCCAAACATTCTCAATTTAGGATTCATGTCTGATGGCATTTGAAGGCCTTTTAAAAACAGTAACAATATTCCTCAGAAAGAAAGAACATTTAACAGATTTTTTTGTTTCAACATTTGCGTTATCTTTAATAAATAAAACTTGTTGATTAATTGCAATTCAAATTAGTCAACAATATGTTTCTTCAAAATTGATTTTGTATACAGTATTTAATTTTACCGTGTAAATGACAACTCTTTTAAAAATTTTGCCATGCCTTTTCCACATGTCTCAGTTTCAGTTATCTCCCTTTTACCTCAAAGGAAAAAGTTTTTGAAGACTTCAACTGGCGTCAGGTATTGTTTCACAACTTTTTGGATCAAGTCAATGGATTTCATTAGTTTTAAATATCCAGGAAACATGTGATGGTCTAGTGAATAAAAGCGTTCGTTGTCTTCATAATGTATAATTCCCAATTCCAACGAAAACTCGAGAATTTAAAAACTTCTGTTATTAGGTCGACATTTAAATCACGTGCAATAGCAAACATGGAGCCATAAACGTTAGCCGCATGACAACGTTTATTATAAATCCTCAAGAGAATATAGTTCGGCAGGTTTTTGCAAAAATAAAAATGCTATAGATAAATCCATTGTCGGGTTTAGCAGTAAATATTCATGTGAAGCAAGTGGGGGAAAAAGCAAAGAAAAAAAAAGAAATCAAAAGAAGAAATTAGAAAGGAAAAGAAAGAAAGAAGAAATTAGAAAAGAAAAGAAAGGAAGAAAGAAGAAATTACAAAGGAAAAGAAAGAAAGAAAGAACGAGGAAATTAGAAAGGAAAAGAAAGAAAGAACGAATAAATTAGAAAGGAAAGGAAAGAAAGAAAAAAAGAAAAGGAATTACAAAGGAAAAGAAAGAAAGAAAGAAAGAAAGAACGAAGAAACTAGAAAAAGAAAGAAAGAAAGAAAGAAATGAAAAGAAAGAAAGAAATTAGAAAAAAAATAAAGAAAGAATGAAGGAATTAGAAAGGAAAAGAAAGAAAGAAAGAAAAAAAGGATGAAGAAAGAAGAAAAGAAAGAAAGAAAGAACGAATAAATTAGAAAGGAAAAGAAAGGAAGAAAGAAATAATGAAGCTAGAAAACAACAAAAGAAAGAAAGGAGAAAGTAAGAGAAAAATGAAGCAAAAAAAACGAAAGAAACAAGGCAAGTAATTGAGAATAAAGAAAGCAAGAATGGAAAAAAAAAGAAGGAAAAGAAGGAAAAAAAAAGAGGTAGAGAAAGAAAAAAATAAAGAAAATAAATGAAAAAGAATAAAAGAAAAAAAAAAAAAAAAAATGAATGAATGAAAAGAAAAAAAGAAAAATAAATAAATCAAAAACGGAAAAAAAGAAAGAAAGAATGAAAGAATAAAAAAAAGGAAAAATCTAGAAGAAAGACAGAAAGAAAGAACAAAAGGAAGAAAGAACAACTGAAAGAAAGAAACAATTGATGAAAAAAGTAAAAAAGAAAGACGAGTAAATGAATGAGAGAACAAAGGAAAGAAAAAGCGGAAGGGAAAGTTGAAAAAAAAAAGGAAAGAAAATTATAGAGAAAGAAATAACAAATAAAGCAAGAAAGAGCGGATGGATGAATAAAAGAAAGAAAAAAGAAGCGATGAAGAAATTAAAAACGTAAGAAAGAAAGAAGGAAAGAAAGAAAGAAAGAAAGAAAGAAAGAAAGAAAGAAAGAACAAATAACAAAGAACGAACGAACGAATGAAAGAAACAAACAATCAATGAAAAAGTAAAAAAAGAAAGAATGGTGAAAGAAAGAAAGAAAGAAATAGAAAGGAGAGAGTAGAACAAGTCGTCTAAGAAAGAAAGAAAGAAAGAAAGAAAGAAAGAAAGAAAGAAGGGAAAAAACGAAAAAAAGAAATTGCTATATGAGGTTAATCGTATAAAATAAAATATTAGCATAACAAAGAAAGAACGAACGAATGAAAGAAACGAACAATCGATAAAAGGTAAAAAAAAGAAAGAATGGTGAAAGAAAGAAAGAAAGAAAGAAAGAAAGAAATAGAAAGGAGAGAGAAGAACAAATAGTCTAAGAAAGACACACAGAAAGAAAGAAAGGAAGAAAGAAAGTACAAAATAAGGAAAAAAAAACGAAATTAAGAAAATACGATATGAGGTTAATCGTATAAAATGAAATATTAGCATAACAAAGAAATAAAAAAGAAAGAACGAACGAATGAAAGAGACAAACAATCTACAAAAAAGTAAAAAAAAAAAGAAAGAATGGTGAAAGAAAGAAAGAAAGAAAGAACAAGATAAGGAAAAAAAAACGAAAAAAAGAAATTGCGATATGAGATTAATGGTATAAAATAAAATATTAACATAACTATCTGATGCGCAGTATATTAAAAATCTAAAAATAACTCGATCGAAATAATGATCAACGTAATGGGAAAAAAATGCATCTGAGAAATTCAGATAACTTCAAAGAATCCGTTTTACTCATTCTGGAATGAGCAGAGATTGCGATGAGCCAAAGATTTGCTTTGGAACAAATCAATTAAAGATAAGACACGAGTCTTTTTTTTTTGTCAGTTATTAAAGCGGCTTGATAGAAGCCGAATCATATTTTGAATAAATTTAAATATTTAAACGAATTTCTGGTGGATTTTTTTTTCTTTTTTTTCTTTTTTCTTTATTGATGGTCGCTTGACGTCACATCTATTTTTATATCGCTTTTAGTTTGGTCTATTATTAATTAAGGAGAGATGTAGATGTGGATGGAGGGCAGGGATATCCCAAACCTGGGGGATTTCGACTATTGGTGGGCGATTTCAACTAGTGAGTGGGGCGATTTCAACAATAGGGTAGGCGATTTCGACTTTTTCAGTGGCGATTTCAACCGCTGCGTGGGTCGATTTCAACTGTTGCGTGGATGATTTATACTGTTGGGTGGGACGATATCAACTTTTTGGGTGAGCGTTTTAACTGTTGGGTGGGTGATTTTGAATTTTGGGTGGGAGATTTCTACTGTTGGGTAGGCGATTTCACCTGCTGGGTGGAGCGATTTCAACTTTTTCGGTGGCAATTTCAACTGCTGGGTGAGGCGATTTCAACTTTTTCGGTGGCAATTTCAACTGCTGGGTGAGGCGATTTCAACATTTTCGGTGGCAATTTCAACTGCTGGGTGAGGCGATTTCAACTTTTTCGGTGGCAATTTCAACTGCTCGGTGAGGCGATTTCAACAATAGGGTAGGCGATTTCAACCTCTGCGTGGGTCGATTTCAACTTGGGTGGATGATTTATGCTGGGTGGGACGAGTTCAACTGCTGGGTGGGACGATTTCAACTTTTTGGGTGAGCGTTTTGACTGTTGGGTGGGTGATTTTGAATTTTGGGTGAGAGATTTCTACTGTTGGGTAAAAATTTCAACTTTTTCGCTGGGGATTTCAACTGCTGGGTGGGGCGATTTTGAATTTGGGTGGGAGATTTCAGCTATTGGGTGTGCGATTTTAACTGTTGTGTGGACGATTTCAACTGTCGGCTGGGCGATTTCAATTGCTGGGTAAGCGATGAACAACTGAACAGAAAATGGTGGCCAATATAGGATTTTGAATATTACAAGTGGTTCAACATATGCTTCTTCTTTATGTACAGTGTCTCCTCAGGACGGTCGAGATCATGGCTCTCCACAATTTCCTGTTTCTTGCAACTCTTAATACAGTCTTTTTGTTATTTCCCCTAAAACCTGATCCACCATCCATTTACTCAATGCGTTGTGTCCCCTCCGTCTCTCTTGCCTTCACTCTGTCCTGTGAGTATCAGATTCTCCAAGCCCTCTTTCTTTATCTGCCCTAGAAATCACAACTGTCTCTTCCTGGTTTTATGTATAAGAATCCTTTTTATCTATCCACTGTGCTATGTGTCCTTGAGGAGTTAGATCCAGTGACAGGACCCAAAGAGTTGCGAGTTCAATACCTGGTTAAGGCAGTGGAGAACTTGGAGAGGGGAATTAACAGGAGATAACCGATAATTTACTGTTGTGGTAGGATCCACCTAATTTGCATAGTGGAGTACCGACCATATAAATATGGTTGGTACCGGGAAGAGAGGGGGAGGAATCAAGAGATTCAATCCAGAGACTCTGCCCGACTGCGACTAAGTCAACATATTCTCCAGGAACGGTCTTCCCAGGAATATACAAAAGACTATATGTAAATATTATGTACACTTTCTTGTTTCAATACATTTTGTTCTAAGTACATTTTGTGTTGCATTATTATTCCATGCATTAGTCAAGTTTCAACACTTACATCCATTAAACATGCCACGTGGAACTAGAACAGTCTACCCCAGCGAGCGAAATAAAAGGTTCAGTTCGACATTCCACATTCCATTCCTAAAGATTTTGAGCGTACAACAGCCGAAATTTTGTGATAAATATGGCGAAAAAGATGAGGACAATAGTCCGAATAATGTAAATAGTGTAATTCTTACCTCATCTCAGAAATATAGACAGATACATATAAACGTCATTTAAAACATTGTAGGAAAATATATTTCAAAGATGAGGACAATAGTCCGAATAATGTAAATAGTGTACATAATATATCATCTCAGAAATATAGACAGATACTGAAGAATCCTTTTCGTTTACATTTTCTGTAAAACTTCGTTGTTACTCATATATTCGGTTCTTAGTATCCTCAGCATCCTTCTGTAGAAACACAATTCTATTGCTTCAAGTCTCTTCTTCCTCTTTGAGGAGCTTGTCCCTCTATACAGGAGGACAGGTTTTAAAATTTAGTAATTGTTTCTAGCGAAGTTTTCGAATTACTTAATACTCCGCTTAGTTTTTGAAATGCATCTTTGGCTATCTCAATACACCTTCAGATCTCAGTGTCGCTTTTTCCGTCCTCTTTTAAAACACTTCACAGATATTTAAATTTCCGCATTTGTCTGGTTTTGGTACTTCCAATATTTAATTCACACTTTGGAATCATTTTTTTTTTTTTTTTGTTAACAATTATGCATTCTGTCTTGTTGCAGTTGATGTTTAATCCTTTCTTCCCGTTTTCCTTCACTGCCTTCTATAGAAATGATTGCAGTTTCCTTCCTGTGTCTGCTATCAACGCTGTGGCATCCGTATACCTTATCATGCTAAAATTCTGACAGCCAATAATGAACTTCCATAGAATTTCCAGTTCTCTCAGAATTGCCTCGCTATATAGGTTGAATAAATCCGGTGAGAAGACATCTCCTTGTCGTACGCTCCTTTCTATTTTTGTATATCCGTATGCAAGCGGTTTGCTGCCAGTGTAGATTCTTGCTTGTATTAATGTCTTTCCCGAATATGTCAATTCAGCTCTCACAGATCATTGTAGCGTACTTTAAAATGCTTCAGCTCTTAAAATTTTTCAAATATTTCAACTCAAAGAAAATAATCTCTCAAGATCGCCTCGCTGTATAGGTTGAATAAATCCGGTGAGAAGACGTCTCCTTGTCTTACGTCCCTTTCTGTTTTTGTATATATGATGAACTCATTTTCTATCCGTATGCAGGTGATTTGCTGCCAGTATAGGTTCCTGATTATTCTAATATCTTTACCAAATATATCAACGTTGCTGAGCACTTCCGACAGATCTTTGCGGCGTATTTTATCGAACGCCTTTACGTCGTCTATAAAACACAGGTACACGTCCTTCTGTATTTGCATCGTTCTTTCTGATAACATTTTGAGTATAAATCGCGTATTTTATTGAAAGCCCTATTAAACGTAATCTATAAAGTATTTTTATTTTTATAATATCAGAGATTCGTCCTTTTATTCTGCTGATGAGAATGTCTTTTGTCCTTTGTCTTATATTTCTATGCCTAACTGTTTTATTTGTCTTATTAATTCTTTCTATTTCTGCACATTCCTCATTGAGTCATGCCTTTTTAGCCTACTTGCATTTGTTTTTTTTTATTTCTTTGTGTAATCTCCTATATCCTGTCCCGTGTATTGGCATAATGTCAGGAATTTGGTGTAAGGAATATTGTGGTTTGTTTGGGTCAGTAATTGTGGCTAGCTAAGCTTAAGATAAGACAGAAATAAGACCAGCTATCCTCCCTTTTGTATTTGGGTTACATTTTTGCATTTTCAAAATAAATATTATTCTATGCTACGAGATTCTTCTCTTGCACTTCACGTTTGTGGAAATCTATTTTATTGCGAGCCTTATCGAACGTAATCTATAAATTATTTTTCTTTTTATAATATCAGCGTTCCGTCCTGTTGATGAGAATGTCTTTTGTCCTTTCAGATCTGTTATTTTTGTTATGACTAACTGCTTTATTTATCTTATTCATTCTTTTCTATTTAAACACATTTTTTCGTTATATTTTGAATACATTTAGCCTGCCTGCATTTGTTCTTTATTTTTTTGTGTAGTGTCTTATATTCTGTTCCGTGACTTGGCATGTTTTTTTCATTTCTTTCCATAATGTCAGGAATTTTATCAGTCATCCATTCATAATTTTTCTGCAGCTTAATTCCTTTGGGATGATCTCGATTGTGTTCCTTTCTTGTATCCTGTTCATGAGAATGTCTTTTGTTCTTTCCAGTTCCCTTATTTTTGTTATGCCTAACTGCTTTATTTGTCATATTCATTCTTTCGACTTCTGCACATTCCTCGTTGAGCCATTATAAACAATAATCTTTTGTCAACACTTCCAAATATAATTTTTTAATTCCACAAAAAAATTGAAATAAAACAAAATTATATATATGTATATATATATACATATATATATATATAGTTTTCAATGGTCATGTTTCCTTTCGTTGGTTCTTCAAATCATCTTTATTTGTTACCTCCCTTTAGTAATTTTTTTCTACATCATAATGCCAGTTTATGAACCAGTAACAAACTTTTACGAAACAATTGTGCTATGCTTTGAATATTGCTTGTTTTTGTTCTCATCGTTTGGGTAACTGCAATGAATACGCATCTAGCAACTCAGAAATCTCCAGTATCGCACTTAAATCACATCATATGCTCAGAATGAATAACTGCAATAAATCAGATCATGTGCCTGCTTTTTTTTTAGCTAAAATTTAGCAGTTTTATAGCAATCAAATCATTTTGCATAATTAATTGCCAAGCTCAACACATTGTACGAAAAAACTATTTCATGGTGGATAAAAAAATGTATTTATTTTTTCATACCCAAATTTAATTGTTTTCAATTTCTGTTCTGATAAGGAAAAATAAACATGGCATCAGTAAATAGCAATGACAAAATGATAGCGTAAAATTATTCTATAAATAATCTAAATTAATTTCAAACTTAACTGTTAAATACAAAACAATTTAATTTATTCTCAATAATATAAAAAATATTTTTAAATTACACACCTTGTTATTAATTGAAACAACCACTTTTTTTCTTTCTTTCACCATACGGTCAGTTTTAGACCCACTGGAGTGACAGGGTGTAATCGATTTCTATTTTTCCTCAGATTAGGTCATTTGCAGTGGTGTGCAGTAATATGAATCTATTTTCAGAGTGTATGATGAAATTTGTTTGGCCTTGAAAATATTGCGTCATCCGTGATTGCATCAGATTTTATCACGCCCAGACACTATTGTCTCGACTGTCGATTAGTTGTCCTACGGCCATTGTCTGAGGTGGACCTTACTCCAAGGAAGCGTAAGAAAATTGTAACATTGCACGAACACACTGGCAAGCGTTACCAGTGAGCAAATCAAAGTACTAGAGACTGGCCCGGAAACTCTCCTGATTTAAATCCAATCGAGAATCTGTGGTCAATCTGCAAGGAACGACTTCGTGGAATGGACATACGAAGTACTAACATGTGCACTGGGTCATGTTTCATTGAAAAAATAAAAAAAAGTAAATAATAACGGAATTATTCGTTTTGTTTCAATTAATTTGAACAAGGGTGTAGGTGATCATTCCACATCTTCCTGTATAATTAATTTGCACAAGGGTGTAGTTTGAAACAGAAAAAACTTTTTTGGGTGTTATTTACACAAAGTCCAGAAAGAAGCAGAACCCACTGCATTAAAAATATCGATATTTGTTATGTAAAATTATATTTTTACTAATCATAAAATCATTTTTATGATTGGTAGATATTGAAACATTTACCAAATAATCTTGGTATGCTTTTGATTATTTTTTGAAATACAGGTAAAATTTGAAAATTTTCCGATGAGAAAATAGATGATGCAAAATGGTTGGATTTTTTAAATTCATAAAATAATATATACATATATAAATATAAATATATATATATATATATATATATATATATATATATATATATGATTTAATGGTTATGAAAATATTATATTTTCAAATTTTAAAAATATTTAAATTGTTGGGAACCCCATATTTCATTTTTAAAATCTTTCGGAGGTTGTAACATTTGACAGTTCGGAATGAGAAATTTGAGAATGAGTTCGAATTTTTTTTTTGCTACATTCAATTTTTTTAGAAATATATTGTTTTATGAATTATGATTATTTCCCCAGATATAAAATTAAATACTAAAAGAATTATTTTATCAACCCAAAAATTGATTTATGTTTTAAATAACCCAGAAAAGGTTGATAACTCTAAAAAAAATGTTCCATCAAATCAATCAAAAGATTAAAATCCAGTAATAATTTATTAATTTTCTTCAATTCTGAAAATCGGTTTAAGATGATCAAAGTTTTGTAACTGTTTTCTCTTCATCTCAAATGGTAATGATATATAAAGCTGTTTGCATTAAGGAATCATTCGAAAATTTTTGATCGAGAAATTGGGAATTAATATGAGTTTGCATGTTTGTTATTGTCCCAGAAAAATTTTGTTTTAGTCTAATCCGAACGCAATTCGAACACTTCTCACCGATTTTAATTTTTGAGTTGCTAAAAAATATTAAAATGAAAACCCCACATCTCTATTAGATTTTTTAAAATTTAAAAGCCTGTCCACTGAGAGAACGTAATTTTATGGGTCATCTAAAGATTTTTGGACAAAATATGAAGAAATTCTTCTGAAAAAAAGTTGTCAAAAGTGGTTTCTAATCTTATTAATTAATTTTCTTATTAGTAATTAGCTTTCTTAGTTCTTATTAGTAATTATTTTTTTTGTGATTAGGTTTCCTGCCGAAAACCAATGCGTTGATGTTTAGATTACAAGTCAAATGATCTAGTCACTCTTTGGAAAAACCAGAAACAAAAAAAACTTGAATTAACGAACAGCAATGAATTATTTTTCAGACAGGAAATTTGAAGTCCAATTTTTTACTTACCAAAAAAAGAGAATTTGGAAACAATATATGTTTTTATTTTATTTTATTTTATTTTATTTCAATGTATTTTTAATCTATTCTTTGTCATTTGCTTTGATTGATATTATTTGAATGTAAGAAGTTGAAAGAAGGGAAGGAAAGTCGAAAGAAAGAGGGGAATAATAATGAAGAAAATAGAAATTTGTATAAAACAAATTTATATCAAAAAAATTTCAAGTTTGAAAAGAAAGAAGAATGAAAACGTGAAAGAAAAAAAATATAAGGAAAGAAAGGTAATAAGATATGAGATTATGAAAATTTAATATCGGGAATAAAAGGTAGATGAGAAAACAGCAAAAAAAGAAGAAAAGTGAAAAAAGAAAAGAAAAGAGGAATGATGTCAAATGGAATAATAGAGACGCGTTATAGGACAGATGATAAAGAAAGAAAGAATTGCTTAAAGAAGAAAAAAAAAATAATAAAGAAAGGAACAAAAAGCAAAAGGTTGTCAAAAAAAAAAAAAATATTGAATAAAAGACTGACAGAATAAGGGAGTCAAAAGAAAAAATAGGGGGATTTGAAAGAAGAAGGAAGAAAGAAAGTAAGAACAGACGACGAGAAAGAAAAAAAGAAAAAAAGAAAGAAAGAAAGAAAGGGAGAAAAAAAGAAAAAAGAAAGAAAGGGAGAAAGAAAGAAAGTAAGAACGGACGACGAGAAAGAAAGAAAGAAAGAAAAGGAGAAAGAAAGAAAGTAAGAACGGACGACGAGAAAGAAAGAAAGAAAGAAAGAAAGAAAGAAAGAAAGAAAGAAAGAAAGAAAAAAGATGGCTGAGAAAGAAAGAAAAAAAGTAACGAGAAAAGAATAATGTAGAAAGAAAAACAAAGAACAAAAGAAGCAACCAGAAAGAAAAACAAAACGAGAAGGCTGAAGGAAAGAAAAGAAAAGAAAGAAAGAAAGAAAGAAAGAAAGAAGGAAAGAAGTAAAAAATGAAAATAGAAAGAAAGAAAACTGGTAGAAAGAAAGTAATCTGCAAAAAAGAAAGAAACAAAGAAAACGAAAGAAAGAATGAAAAACTCGTAGAAAGAAAAAGAAAACTGGTAGAAAGAAAGAAAGAAAGAAAGAAAATTTGGTAGAAAAAGGGAGAAAGACGAAAAACAGGTAGAAAGAATGAAGAAAAACTGATTGAAAGAAAGAAAGAAAGAAAGAAAGAAAGAAAGAAAGAAAGAAAAAAGAAAGAGAGAAAAGAAGAAATATGAAAATTTGGTAGAATGAAAGAAAGAAAGAAAGAAGAAAAATTGTTAGAAAGAAGAAGGAGCGACGAAAATTTGGTAGAAAGAAAGAAAGAAAGAAAGAAAGACCGGAAGAGAGGAACGGAGAAAGAAAGACGAAAAACAAGTAGAAAGAACGAAGAAAAACAAGTAGAAAGAATGAAAGAAATAATGCAAAAAAGAATGAAAAACAAAATAAACTACAGAAAATAAAATAATTTAAATTAATGTTTAATTTAAATAAAATAAATAAAAGTGGACTGACTCAATAAAAGATGACAAAAAAAAAATAAATAAAACAAACAAATTTTATTTCTCCTGTTATTTTTTCGGTCTTAACTCTCGCTTTTAGTTGAATATTTCTCGAAAGGAGAGCTCAGCAGCCAAGGGAGGTAATCAACAATACTGGCTTCGAACCATCAGCTTTTTAATTTATTAGGCTTATCCATTAATGGCATCCTCATCACGACTCAACAGACACGCGATCAACAAAACAGTTTTCTTTATCACAACACATACACATTATACAGAAGAAAAAAAAGATTAATTATGTAATAGCTAGTAGTAGTAATAGTAGTGTTAGTAACAGCAGTAGTATTCAAGGCAAGAAAAGAGAGCACTGAGATTCTTCTAGTGACTTTTATTTAACTGAATGCAGGAGGGAAAAAAATTTAAATTCTACCTGAGTCGTTTTTCCAAAGAAAACGCGATCCAAGTTCAAATTTCGATGGTTCATCTTACTAGTGAAGAATTATAAGAATGACCCTAGTTTCTCAAAGACATCCGTTCTCGGTGATAATTTGAAAAAATTTAAGGTTTCTCGTTGGAAATGACACCACAGATTGTCAGATTTAAAAATGAAATAATACTTTGTTTGAGTCAGATAATCTATAAAACAATTTCGGTAAGACGTTAAACTACGATGGCAGCAAGGATCTAGTCAGGATGTTTTGTCTCGTTGAAATTTTTTAATTTTGGTGTCCCCAGGTCCATTATTTTTAACCTGGGGTGATAGCACCTGTTAATTCTCAGCTATCGGGCAAATAGTTAAACCTCAAACTGAGTCAAACATTATGAAATTTTAAAAAATAGGTTTTAATACCAGCAATACGTTTTTGTAAAAATTATAACTAACAATATTTTTTTGAAGGAAATATATTATTACCAGGAATACACTTTTGAAAAACATATTACCATCAATAAATTTTTGAAGACAAAATATTACGAACAAAATATTTTTTTGAAAAACATATTACTAGCAATAAAAATCTTGTCGGCATTAAATAACCTTCTGAGGTTGATATGACATACACCAAACCAAACGAATTCTAATTTTATAAGATAAGGTAATAACCTGAAATGACTAGGATATATGAAAAATGACTCATTGATCATAACATTTTCATCAAAACCTGCATCTTTGTCTGATTGCATCGTTTTCACTTATTAAAATGCCATCTTCCAGATTTTCTTGGAGGGAATTTGTGCCATGTGATTTATTTTTCTGTCTCTCTAAAGATTTTTTTAATTTTTGTAGCTGTTATTATATTTTTGCTATCTTTCCTAATCTCTGTTTTGCCAATTGAAAAAAATATTAGCAGCAATAAAAATCTTGTCGGCATTAAATAACCCATTGAGGTGTTGATATGTCATAAAACAAAGCAACATTCTTGAGAGGAAGAGGAACAGTAGAGAATGGAGAAATAGCTGAGTTACGTAGAGAGAGACGGAGACACATGTATAAATGATTTCGAAATTCAAGAGAGTTCCCTCATCAGCAAGAGATATTTGCAGACGTAAACTTCCAGGCAATGCATGTGAATTTTAGAGTCCTTTCTAAAGAGTGGGAGGTAAGCCGAAATCAAGAAATCAGAGGAGGGGATTGAAGAGTGAAGATTAGTTTCACAGAGAGCTAGGATGTCTGAACACTTTTCGAAGATTTTTTAAGGGAATTTGTGCCATGTCCTTTCTGTCTCTCCGCAATTTAATTTCCTTTGTAGCTGTTATTATATTTTTGCTATCTTTCCTCATCCCTGTTTTGCCAATTGAAAAAATTATTACCAGCAATACATTTTTGAAGGAAAAAAATGTTACCAATAATAAAAATCTTGTCGACATTACATAACACACTGAGGTTGAATGCAGTAAACAAACCAAACCAAATCAAACGTAAAACTGCATGAAAATGTTAAAAAAGATTTTAGTACCAGCAATACATTTTTGAAACAAAAAATATTACCAGCAAAAGAGATTCTTGTCGGCATTAAATAACCCATTGAGGTGTTAATATGCCGTAAAACAAACTAAACGAATTCTTACTTTATAAAACAAGTTAATAAACTGAAATGACTAGAACATATAAAAGATGACTAGTTGATCATAATCTTTACATCATAATATGCATCTTCGTCTGATTAAATTATTTTCACTTATTAAAATGCTATCTTCCAGGTTTTCTTTGCGGGGAAATTTGTGCTTTGTCCTTTTTGTCTCTCCGTAATTTCCTTTCCTTTGTAGTTGTTATTATATTTTGTCCTTTTGCTATCATTCCTAATCTGTTTTACCAAGTGAAAAAATATTAGCAGCAATACATGTTTGAATTAAAAAAATATTACCAGCAAAAAAAAATCTTGTCGGCCTTAAATAACCTATTGAGGTTGATATGCCGTAAAACAAAAGAAACAAACCAATCTTAAAAGTGACGTGATAAATCGAGTAAAATGGTTGCATCTGTAACTAAAAAAAAAACAAAAAAACAATGAGAGATATCTTAAAGGATGTTGACCATAAAGAAAAAACATTCTAAAATAAGGGGTTAAAGATTCAGGATGTTAAATAGTTATGTTACCAAAGTACGGTAACTTTATTGTTTTACCATTCTTTCTTTGTCCCTTTTTTTTTTTTTTTTCTTTTGGTAATCTTTGGATTCCTCGCCGTTTTTGCTCATTTCGTTTAATATTTCACTGGAATTTTAAAAAAGCTTGACCCCAAGCATATTTAAATACGTAGTTTTATCTTCCTCCTAATCTTACCCCCAATGTTACCATCACCGGTACGTGACTTTTAAAAACTTTTTTTCTCTGTATCTGTCTATATTTCTGAGATGAGGTATTATGTACACTATTTACATTATTCGGACTATTGGCCCCTCATTTTTGTCGCCATATTTATTACAATGTTTTGGCCATTCAGTATCTGTCTATATTTCTGAGAGCAATATAATGTACACTGAAACATTATGGGTTTATTGTCCCTCATCTTCATTGCCATATTTATCACAACGTTTCGGCCTTTCAGTATCTGTCTTTATTTCTGAGATGAGGTATTATGTACACTATTTACATTATTCAGACTATTGCCCTCATCTTTGTTGCCATATTTATTACAACGTTTCGGCCCTTCAGTATCTGTTTGTATATTCTTTTTGAGATGAGGTATTATGTACACTATTTATTTATTCGGATTATTGTCCTCATCTTTGTCACCATATTTATTACAAGGTTTCGGCCCTTCAGTATCAGTCAATATTTCTGAGATGTGATATTATGTACACTATTTTACATTATTCGGACTATTGTCCTCATCTTTGTCACCATATTTATCACAACGTTTCGGCCCTTCAGTATCTGTCTATATTTATGAGATGAGGTTATTTTAATTTATTTACATTATTCGACTATTATCCTCATCTTTGTTGCAAATATTTTCAAGAATTGGAAAATATTTCAGTATCTGTCTATATTTCTGAGATGAGGTATTATATACACTATTTACATTATTCGGACTATTGTCCTCATCTTTTTCGCCATATTTATGACAACGTTTCGGCTGTTGTACGCTCCGGCCCTCTTCAGGTGGTTGGAATGTCGAACTGAACCCTTTATTTCACTCACTGGGATAGACTGTTCTAGTTCCACGTGGCATGTTTAATGGATATCAGTTATCAGTTATATCCTGTTAATTCCCCTCTGAAAATACTCTATTGACTTAACCGGGTATTTGGGTCCTGTCACTGGATCTAACTAACGCTTTTATCCACTGTGCCATGTGTTTTTTCTCTGTATTGGTCTATTTTATTATCATGTTATTACTTGACCATTTTTTTAAAGTAGCCATATTTTATACGTTTGTACCTCTGTGTGGAGAATCTTTTTTTCTGAACGTGTCCACCGTTCACACACTGTTACTAAATATAAACTTTATGTTGCTTCCTTTCTGTGAACTTACTTCAACACTGAAATGTATTTCTGTAACGATCTTTATACATATTCCCATAAACAAAGTATTCGCTAGATTTCTTTAACTATGAAGACAAATGGGTTTAATTTCTATTCAAGCCTCTGTCTGCTTTACTGTTTAGTTTGTTTGTTACTCAGACTAATTAGTTTTATATGTTTATTTATTACTTTTTCTAGTTTTAACCTATTGGCTTTTGATAAACCTGATGATCACCAGGACTTCCTCTTCAGAGTCTTAATTGACTTAATATGTTTATTTTTTGGTTCTACACATATATATGACACGGATATTTTCTTCTGGGGGGCAGAACATAAATTGTTCAAGAATCATGGTTTTACGGGAATGTGAAATAACGAGGTAAAAAGGAAAAAAATGTGAATTGCATTGAGTTTCGATAAGTACAAAAGAATTACGATATAGTGTGGTGGTTATGTATTTAATAATAAAAAATATATATATATATATATATATATATATATATATATATATATATATAAATGAACTTTTGTCTGTAGTTTTCATTTGTTTTTTTTTTTTTTTTTTCTTTTTAACATGAATTTTTAACATTCCTTGTGTTGGTCAAACAGTCTCTTTTAAGTTGTTATTTAAGATAAGAGCTACCAGCATTTGAAATATTTTTCTCCTGATGATGGTCGAAATAATAATAAAAAAACGAAAGAATATAATTTATAAACCCAGTGTGTCTGAAGATTTTAATTTTTTAATAGTTTTTATTATTAATATATATATATATATATATATATATATATATATATATATATATATATATAATTATTTATTTAAAATATGATTCCAACTCGCGACATAAGAGGTCTCATGTTTCAAAACAAAAGCCGAAAACTTCAATATAATTATTTGAATTAAATTGAATTAAAGTAAGCTCTGTTCCATCTTCCAACGAAATTTTTTTTGAATAACTTATTTCTGAAATTTACGTGTTTTAATATATATTCATAATTGAAATCAAAATTTCCATGTTAACAGCCAGGACGGATTGTTTAAAATAGGTAGGCGGTGTTGGGTGTTAATAATACGTATCAGTATAGAGTTACTTTCATAGATGTCAAGTCAGGGTAAGGTGGGTGTGTCTAAATTTGAAACGGAAGATGTTTTCGCCTAGTCTGGTTTACGTGTCTATGGAGATTTATTTATTTTTTATTTTATTTTTTTATGAAAGGGTTTTGTGTTTATATAAAAAAAACTGCCGTAACATTTGTTTTTGACGACTTCATAAAGGGTTATTTTTTTTGTAGGGTA